AAATCAAAAATGTACATCATCCTCCTAACAGTTTCATCTCTTCAAATCCTTAGTACTGTTGACTAGAAAGTCCCTAATTGAGGCTGAGCAAGCCATGAGATACAGGACCTCCAGTTTGCACCAGGTACTCTCCTAACATTTTGAATCAAGAACTGCAGAAGCTGTGGGCTGAGGTCTTGGAACCAGGAGGTCAGAACTGCCTGGGCCAGACCAGTGTTTGCAGGGTGATGGTGCTGTCTGCAGCTTCATGTTGTGTGATTTTCCTGAGACAGAACAATCTGGAGAAACAGAAGCATAAACTCTCCCAACCAGAGGAATTGAGAGAGAGCTTACAGCAAGCCCAGGAAAAAAAAAAAATAAAAAATCATCTTTCTGGTAGAGACATAAATCTGAGATCAGTCCATGGAGAGGGCACCAAGGACATAGTATTCCTTCCATTGATCTCTGCTCATTTTGAGGGGCTAGGCTTATTCACTGTAATATGCAGAGATTTTTTTTTTCGAAATTTCTGTCTGTTTTGGAAATTGCTGATGCTTCATGTGATGTACTGGTATCCGTTAGCAGTCTCAAGGAGTTATAAACTTCTACAAAATCTGAGATAAATACTCGGCCATCCTTCTCACATTTTACACCTACATAGTTAAATTCACCCTCCTCATCTTGACTGTTTGTGCATTGCGTGTGACCCACGCTATCTCCCATGTTGTGCCAGGGTGAACCTCCCAGGAGTGGGTTAAAAATTAATCCACGTGGACAATGCGTCAGTTCTTTAGCTCCGTTTCATACACACAATCTCAGTTTCTCAGAGCCTGAGAACCATCATAAAATGGTGTCCACCATCCACCATCATAAAATAGGTGTCTAATGTAGGAACTTTATCAAGCTCCTACTTTTTGCATTTAGTTTTAATGTTTCACTCACAGCACTTTGAGAGTTTTCACTTATTTAAAAGTTGCCATAGCTTCAGGAATCAGTCCTGGGTTGTCTTCAGATTTCCTTAATGGCAGTATTTTGGGCATAGTCTTGATGAATCTACATTTGAATGTGTCAGTTCTTTTTTAGACAGGAACACTTCTGGGGCTGGGCTGCTCTCTATAGGTTCATATATTTCAAAGGTACTTTCCAAAAGAGATGGCATATGTCAGGTACTTGGATGGCTTATTTAGTAGAACATGCCAAAACCAATTTTTGATGTCCTAATCACTGAATATTTTGCTCTACATAAATTTGGTACATACTGCTTCAACGGCTTACTGCTGTTTTTCAGTAGTTCTGGACCAATGCAGAATTTCTGCTCTATTGACATTCAGAAAGACTGATTTTTGAAAGCTCTTCCACACTATTTCAGCAGCCTATACTCAATCTCAATGCAGATTGCTGCAGAAGCTGAGGATGAAGTGTGAAGACTGAAGCAAAGCTGGAAGGGGGTGAAACTGGGTAGCAAACACTTTTATGTCTTTTTCTTCCCTCCTTTTCTTCCTTTTCACTTCCCCCTCCTTCTTTTTTTCAGGTAACACTTTCCCACCATCTTTTCCTTTAATTTTATTTTCAGTTTCAATGGTAACTATATGGCTGGTCAGCAAAAACAGATGCAAAGAAACCAAACTAAGCAGCGCATCTGTGTTTAGTGAAGAACCTGACTAAACAGAAGGAAGTTTGTAAGATCTCAAGCCACAGAGTAACACAGTTATAATCCAAAAAAGTGCTGCTTAGTATTTTCTTAGATATATAATGCTATTATTTTGATTTTTTTTAACAAGCAGGTAAATTACTACATCTGCTTTAGAAATTTTAAAATGAGCGTACTACTAATTCAGTGAGACGTCCTCCAGCTGGATTGCATCCCATGACAAGTCTGTTTAGTATTGGTTCAGACAGCTTTCTTTAGCAGCCCCCTTAAATTTGAGTACTGCTTTTCCCTCCATCTTTTTGAAACATGCAGACCTTTCCTTTCCCTGATTAGTTTGGCTGTGACCTCCTAAGTTTGAGGGATAATGGCTTTTTAAATGCTGTCGCGTGCATACTATGTGTGTACGAGAGAGTATTTTTTCCTGTACAAGATGCTTTTTTCCTATAGCAAGACTATATCTCAACCAATGTCCATCTATTTCTTGACTGGAATGTAGATGAGATTGCTGGTTGAGAGAGAGAAATTAATTCACTTACAAAAATGGAATTACCACAGTGAACTATGCAGTCAGGCCATATTCATAACACAAGACAGAACACAATATAAGGCAACACACAACCTTATGCAAAACAGTATTTCTGTTCCACATGCAGGAAAATAATACTTTGGTCTTAATTGTAAAATTGAGACATTAAAGACAGGATGCATAGGGTAATGATAGAGAAGAATGGTATTACTCAAGTGTCATTACACATTAGAGGTAATAAAATGAAAACTGGATTCATGAGTAACGAGAAAGTATGCCTTGCTTCACTGGTGTCACAGACTAAATATTTTAGAATCATAGCAGGTTTCTCTAAATACTAGATTTTTATTTTGTATTCAGATTATCTCACATGACCAAATTTTATTATCTGTTTCTTATTCATAACATGTGGGATAGACACATACATCTGAGCCAGTCATCCTCAATTCCCTTTATAGTCAGTCAAGCAGAATATATACTTTTAGGGTACACCTGACTTATTTGAAACATCTACATTGGAATGACAAGAATTGTACCCTAGAAAGGCCTATTTCTGCCTAGGGACTATAAAAGGAGATGTGACAACTAGCATAGATATAATTACCTGCATTATAGATGTGTATTTGGTCACATGGATTCCCTTTTCCTATGAATTTATGAAAAACAAAACAACAACAGGTTGTCACCAGCCATTTCTCAGGTAGAGTAGGTTTGTTTCATACACTATATTTTTTCATTTCTTTTGAATCACTCAAACAAATGAACCTTTTCATTAATTTCAGAATCTAACAACCTTAAATTAAGATATATATGTTATTTCTAATGTACAGAAATTTCTGATAGTAAACTTCCATTTGTTGTGTATCATCCCATTAATTGTAATCACTCTGTAGTACTTCCATACAGTTGCTTTGGACTTGGTCATTGTTTTATGATGAAGAAAATGTGCTCTTCTGTGCATTCTCTAAAGCAACCAACCACCCCCTGCCTCAGCAATAGAGGAATCACACTCAGGAACACATTACTGTATTTGGACCTAGTATTTAGTGTCAGCTGAGCCAGGGTACCTATCTGTACCTCCACAGCTGGCCTGCCAAAAGATAAGTTGGTGTAAATTTATATTGCTTTTATTGAGGATTGAGCTCAGTGCAGTATCTCCCATCTGGCACAGCAAAGTGTAGAAAATAACCTCAGCTCAGTTGATGTACCAGAACTTGTTAAGCTATCATGTTTATCAACTTGTTTTGATCATAAACTAATGCTCTAAGAAGAAATTCTCATGAGAGAGAGGAATTATCCTCATGGGTTTGAGTATGTTGCTGCTTCAGGGTTTTCTTGCTACTGTCCTGCACTGATTGCTGAAATATCTATCTTGCTCTCTGTCATAACTCAGGCTTGTTCAGCATACTCCATTTCTCTCTAAGATTTGTGTTCTGAATTGTTTTCCTCAAGAAAGGGATTAGCTTGCATTTTTCAAAATAAAATCCCATCTTTTGGGGTTACATTAACCCTTCTAATCTCCTTTATACACTTCTTTTTTTTGCTATGCAATTCTCCCTAATTTTTCAGAATCTTCAGAAAAAAATATTGCTTACTCCATTGTTCTAGATTCTTAATGGATGTTAAATAAAACCAGACCTAATATCAACTAATACAGCACCTTCTCCAAGTTCATATATCATAGTGACATGAATTGGCATTTACTTATCAGTCTTAATCAGGTTTCATTCCAAAGAAATGTCAGATTCTCTCTCTTATAAATAATTCTTTTAAATATAGATATGAAAAATACTTTATTGACTGTGTGAATCTACAGATATTTAAATCACCTTATGTTTGTTATTTCTGCAATTTGATAAAATGTTACTATATCCTTGTTTTAAGGATTTGTAGGTTTTCTAATGACAAACATATGACATACAAACCCACTAAATCTTCACTTTTCAACCTTTACTCTTCAGAATGCAAGTAATTAGTATTTTTGTATAGAATCCTATTTTTTTTTCTTTTTGAAGCACAGAGTAATGTACATTCATTGACATATGAATGTCTTTAGAGGAACGAAGATCTTTAATTAAAGATATTCAACTATTATTCACTTCAGGTAATAATAAATGGTGATGGATGCTCATCTCAAACCATCAAAAAACACTTGTTTGGCTAAATCATTAAAAGCTATGAAATTACTTATCAATGTCAAGGTATTAAGACTTCTGTTATTGCTTCCTTACAGTAAGTCTTTACCTTCCACTTCCAGTGGTGTATATTCAAACTTACTCTATCAGGCTGGTCAGAAGAACTAAGCTGCTAGAGATTATTTTTTTAAAAACAGAGAAAAATATACTATGGATCTTTGCTATCAAGAAAGAAACAAAACAACTGTTGTACAATATTTTTACAATGAAGGAAAAGGAGGCAAAAAGGCTTATAAAAACCAGTAATCTTGTAAAGGGCTAACAGATTGCTCTGATTTTGATCTACCTTGATGAGTGAATATATACAATTATAGATAAAGCTTGCAGCACTGTGTTGCAACTATAAGAATTTGCTGCAGACACCATACAAAGTATGGGGTGAAAGGTCCTGAACTGCTCTAGTTTTACCCTTGTACAGTGGCGGGACAATTGACACTCAGAACAAAAAAAGGAATATACAACAAACTGTTAGATTTTGCCTAGGATACTTAATTGCAGACACATTTTTCCAGAACCAATGGTGTTACCTCCCATAACATGGAAATTAATTTCCAGTCTAGCACACAAGAATGTAGTGAGTATATGTATGTCTTATGGTTTAGAACCTTTTACACACATTTTTGTAATTGTACAGACTTTCCAAACTTACCTCCTCTATGGATAATCAAAGAAGTTTCACTTCCAACAGGACATTCTTTAAGTATATCCACTACTTCTGCATGGCTCAGGTTCTGTACATTCTGCTGGTTGATCTCAACAATGAGGTCACCTTCACACAAACCAGGACATCCCTGAATGTCTAGAATTTGCTTCACCCTCTGTCCTGTAGGACTGTCTGCTATAGTGAAGCCAAAGCCCTGGGCCCCTTTCACAATGGTTAAGGTCATGAGTTCAGCTTGGGTGGCCCCAGAAGAAGCCATTGATACATTATCATCATGGGCAGGTGGTGGGAATGTGCTATCAAGCTGACTATCTGCTGGAATGGAGTGCAAGGAGTGTGGTGGTCGATCTGTTACGTCTGGAACAGACTGAGAAGTCCTAGAAATGTATTCCAAATAAGTTTCATAGTTATGTCTTCCATTTACCACTACCGGAGGCCTCTCCATTACTGCAAGGGGTGGCACCATGCTGTTGGCAGGATCTTCAGGATCAAAGGGCAAAGGGTATCCACGACATAGCACCAAGTTGACACTCTGACCAATAGGAACAGACTGGAAGAGTTTGACTACATCTGCGTGAGTATGTCCAAGGACACAAACTTCATTAATATAGACAATGACATCACCTAGAAAGAGAAGAAAAAACAGTGACATGAGACAACTTCAGTTACTGTATATGCAGTGCAATTTTTTTTTATGAGACAGAACTCTACTAAAAAATAAAATAAATCACACCAACATACTGATTGAAATAGTGGAGACAAAAAAATTAAACTTTGTCTGCTACCAAATGTAATACAAATAGACAATGACAGTACTATTTCTTTTCTGTGGAGCTCACATCTGGAAAATTAAGATGGATCCAGACATACACCATTTCTTAAAATTTCTTCCCTATTTTTTGACTCCTTTCAGTGTCGTCCACAGATTACCTTTTTCTAAGATACAATGGAAGTTTATTTGGAGGCCTGGCTGTCAAGAACTACCATTGTTTGGCGAAGAGTAAAGATAAAAAAAAAAGGCACTCATGGACTTAAGAATCAATGAATAGGGAAGTAAGACAATGCATGTATGTGCATAAGGAAATACTTTTTGCATTGATCATGATATTGACAGTTTTCTATTAAATGTCATTACTTGCCATCAGACATCCAGGACTACTACAGTCATTTCCTACTCTAGGCATAAACTAAAAAGTATCTTGCATATCATAGAGATGTTAAGTGGCATTTTTTTGTAGCCATGAAGGTTCAAGGACAATGACAGGACAAATTTTGTAGGTAGGTATAATAGCTTTTTCTTACAAAAATTGAAGTAAGCGTCTGAAAATCAGTTTTATATTTCCAACTAAACCAGCTGGCCAAATAAAAATAAGGGTACTACCTCAACCTCCAAATCTTGCCTCATGTATAGTACAGTTACTAATCAGAGCATATATGAAAGCAGATTACTTTAAGTAAATGGGTTATATATGAGTCTCCATATTGCTCATGTTCCAACCAGCTTCTCTTACGAAAAAGTTTAGGAATAAGTTCAGGTTCCTTCTTGTTGTTAGAATGGATCTTTATAGCCATAACCAATTTTAATGGTATTGTAATGGTGCATATTAAAATAAAAATGAATAATCAGTACAAATGATATTCAGAATAGTTCAATGATCCAGTCAGTTTTCACTTCAATAAAACAGTTTGCACCTTTATAATAAAGGAGAGAGAGAGAGAACTACAGAAGTTAAAGTATTTTTCTAAGTGAAGATCATCTTACTATCCTACCATTAATTAGGAACAAGAAATCATTTATACAGACAACACTGTGAGGTGTCTACAAGATACACAGTTGAATAGTTGACCACCATAATGTAATGTTTTCAACGGTATTTGAAAATTCAGAAATAAAATGAGAATGATTTCAGGAGGATGAGGTGGTTTGTGTAGAATTACTTAAAGTGTATTTATGAAATTATGTCTTTCAAGAACTTCAATCAAAAGATCTAATCAAGCAGACTGAGGGAAAAAAATATCATCAAGATGCCAGTGCAAGGGTTATTTCTATGTGACAATTAAAGGCAAAGGCCTTTTCTATGTGAAAAATGAAATTGTCAATTCCCACATGATCAGCCTCTCTAACAGCCTGACAGTAATTAATTGCATATGCATAAATTGTGATTCAGAGAAAGATTTCTTCAGAGGGTGTCTAGGGAAAAAATGCTAAGACAGTCTGTTTAGATGTTTGTGAATATTATTCACAGAAACCTTAGGAGCTGCAAATACAGTCTTAAATGTGCATCACAAGTAAGCTAATGCAGTAGGGTCACTTCACAGGCAGTGCTGAAAGAATGCTTCTGTCTCAAGCAGCTGAGTGTAAAACAGTTTTCAAAAGGCAGGATTTAAAATCATGAAAGAATGTCCTGTACTAAATTATTGTGGCAATGGCTGCAATTCACTGTGATTTGCTCATTCCCTGGTATAGAAAGCTCTTACCTGCATTCCCATCCCTGGCTTCCGCACTAGCAGTGAGGCTGACATTGCTCATAACAGGACTGATACTGTTGAACTGAGACCTCTTCAATGCATGCTCCTGTTTCAGTAGCTTATGCCTTAATAGTACCCCTGCAATTTTTTAATCCATGCAGTCTTTATTTCCCCGAGTGCTGGCAATGCAGATATGTGGTGGGAGGAGACCAATCTGTTTGTTCATCCTCTCTTGCAATACATATGTAGGATTTAAAAGGAATAATACATTTACTGTGTTGGGCAAGTAAATAGTTGTCATAAATCAGAAAACTGGATAAATTAGTTGACATTACATAGGTTTCCAGTGAAAAGAAATTAGCTTGTGCAGAAGGAGTGCAGTCAGGAAATACATAGGCCAAGTAGCCCCTTCCCCAGTCACTACATGGCAAAACTGACCATAAGAAGGTCTTGGGTAAGAACTCCCTCTTCAAATAACGACCCTGCATCATCCCTTACACAACAGTAGAAAATTCTTCAGCATGATTCATCTCTGAATCAACATTTTTAAAGGTCTTTGTGGCTTCTGAGGTATAACAGTTTGGGATGCATAATGCTGTACTGTCATATGAACATGAAGCTGAAGGTGCAGAGGGAGGGGGAGAAAGCCATGAATTACTTGGTCCAACTCAAAGAAATAGCTACAGTGGTGGTAAACTGGGAAGAAACAGAGTTTCAGCTCATGGGATCTGAAGGAGGAATAGAAGGGGTTAATTTCAGAATCCTTCAAATAAATCTCTGGACTGTAGGAGTTTCTTCAAATTGAACTAATTTTCCAGGCTGAGAGTCCTTCATTGCTGACATAGAGACAAGTACCCAGCATTTGGTAGGAAGAGAGATAAGTTAAGAGCATTACAGAGCCAGTGCCTTGCTAATGCACAGTTCAAAACCTCCCTAGGAAAACTCCCTTAAAGGTCCCTGTAGCATCTTTTCTGCCTGTTCTCTCCTGCTGCTTCTAATAATAATGGATGCATGGACAAGCATAATAGCAATCTCCTTTATAATTCCTGCCTGATTTTCTGAGCAAGCCATAGTCTGCCTCCAGAAATCACAGTTTCACAGTGAGTGGGTATTTTTGAAGTTATGCAGAACATTTATATTAAGCGTCAAACTTTACTTGGCTTTTAGAATTAAACCTACTAAAATGACTGGAGCTTGCTTACAGAATAAAAGAATGACTGAAGTTGGCAAGGACCTCTAGAGGTCATCTGGTCCAACCCTCTTGCTAAAGTAGTCACTTAGAACCAGTTGCCCAGGATCATGTCCAGGTAGCTTCCGAATATCTCTAAGGAGGGAGACTTAAAGGCTAAGAAAATTGGACCTATACAGCCTTGGGAAGAGAAGGCTTAAGTGGGACCTTATCACCATGTACCAGTACATAAAGGGTGGCTAGCAAGAAGATGGAGACTCCCTTTTCACAAGGAGTGACATGGAAAAGACAAGGGGTAATGGATACAAGTTGCTTCTGGAGAGATTCTGACTGAACTCCAGAAGAAATTTTTTTACCATGAGATCAATCAGACAGTGGAACAATCTCCCAGGGGAAGTGGTAAATTCCCCTACACTGGTCAGTTTTAAGAGTCAGCTTCACAGAGTGCTGACTCACCTCATTTAAACCTCGAGACGTTGGACTGGATGATCCTCGTGGTCCCTTCCAACCTGGTATTCTACAATTCTATGATTCTATGATTTTATAACCTCTCTGAGCAGTCTGTTCCAGTGCTTGGTCACCCTCATAGGAAGAAAGTGTTCCCTAATGTTCAGAGGAAAACTTCTGTGTTTCAGTTTGTGCCCACTCACTCTGGTCCTATCACTGGGCACCACTGGAAAGAGCCTGGCTCTGTCTTCTTTGCATTTCAGGTATTTACGTACATTGCTAAGATCCCCTTAAGCCTTCTCCTCTCCAGGCTGAACATCTCTGTATGTTGACATCCTCACTATCAGATGCTCTCCCGGATTTTCTCCTCCTCACTAGCCTGTAGAAATTCTACACACGCCAACTCTACCCTATTTGAGACTATTCAGGGATGAGGAGACCAGGAGGGCTGGTCTATGGAGACGCCATCTGAATGAGACTCTTTAGATGAAGTGCCAGGGTTGATAGATACCCAGTAGAGTAGACAATAAATATTCTGTCCTACATCTCTAACATCTACAATGTCACAAGAACAGATTCTGCTGTCTGGTAGCCAATGTCCAAATTTGACATTGAGTCAAAGAATATCAGAGAATACAGACAGCGACCAAATTTGTCCAAGTGCCTTACAGTTACCTCCGGTTTACTTAAGACTTTTGCATTTAACTGACAAATTTAGGAACACAGGACTTCCTGGATGGCTGAACCTAGTCCCCTGTTGTTCTATACAACACTGTATGTTACACTTGATGAAATTTGATTTATTAACAGGAAAACCCATGATGTCCTAGAATACTTTACTTCTTTAACTAGCTTGTTTTGCTTATTAAAGCTTGCTGATTACTACCTATTTTGTCATGTAATGTAAATGGAATCAATGTCTGAATGCTTGGTTAAAGATTATGTTTTGGCACCTACATATTTCAAAGCAAAACCCAGACCTAAACTATCATTAACTTTTGTTGGTTTAGTGACCGGTAAAGAAATTTGTGAGCTTCACCATCCTCTAAATATGTATTCCTACTTACATTCCTCCCGATAACAATGTTGCAGAGTCAGATCTGACACCATGGGGATTTTCTGCAAGCATTAATTCTGCAAAAATACCTTTTTCATGCTTCAAGTGCTTGATCCAAACAGAACCTGTTTTATTAACATGAGTAATTTCATTCAAATTTATTAAAATTATCCTAATGGTTCATATAATGCTACCAGCCCTATTTCCCTCCTTTCAGAAGAACCTATATTACTCAGTGAGTCCAGTTTTTTTTATGCTATGTTTTTGTTACCCCTAGAATGTCTGTATACACATCTTGCACTAGTAGGTAAAGTTCCTCCATTTTCTTACCTGTATTCACACCATTTGTGTACAAACACTTTGCTTAATTCTTATTATTTCTTGTGCACTTGGTTTCCTGGCTGGAATTCTTTGATGGTGCCTCAGTGAACTGAATTGCCTCCTGGATTGCCCTTTTTATTA